CACTGCACTCCAGTCTGGGTGACAGAGTGAGACTCCAACTCAAAAAAAAAAAAATAGAATAAAATTAAAAAATTAAATAGCATAAAAAATTGAGAAAGTTTAAAAAGATATGTTAACAAAATCATGATTTATTAAGAAAAACATTAGGCCAGGCATGGTGGTGATGACTGTAGTCCCAGAGCTTTGGAAGGCCAAGTTAAGAGGATTACTTGAGGCCAGGTGTTTGAGGACAGCCTGGCAACATAGCAAAACCCTATCTCTACAAAATAATAATTAAAAAATAGCCAAGTATGTGGCATGGGTCTGCATTCATAACTACCCAAGGAGGCTAAGGCAAAAGGATCACTTGAGTCTAGAATCTGAGGTTAAAGTGAACCATATTTGTTTCACTGCACTCCAGCCTGGGTGACAGAGAAAGACTCTGCCTCAGAGAGAGAGAGAGATAGGAAGGGAGAGAGGGAGGGAGGGATGAAGAAAGAGAGGAGAGAAGGGAAGAAAGGAAGAAAGAAAGGAGGGAGGCAAGGAGGGAGGGAGGAGAAAGAGAGAAAGATAGAGAGAGGAAGAAAGAGAGAGCGAGAGCGAGAGAAATCAATCATTGGCCCTAGAAAGTAGAGGAAGGTAGAAGGGAGATGAGAACCAGTCTTACCTCTTCCAACTGTACCATGAGAGTAACGTTGTGCCCTTGTTCTGCTGTTAGTTTTCCGTCTGCAGTGACAATCCGGAGTCCCCGAGGGGCCTTTCCTGGGCACTTCTGTGGTTTGGCAGTGTACTGTTCTCTTACTCCATCGGTACAGTTATTGGAAACCACCTTCCTATACCTAAATGGAAAAAACCTCAAGTCATAAAGCAGTTCATTATGGTTTGAATCAGTCCCAAGTTTTTAAATTAGACATGGTACTTGGCCCTGAGTATCACTGATAAATACCTAATCATCTTTCATGTTACTATGAGAAGTAGGGTCAATTTACACTAAGTGCTCAACAGAGAGACAAATAAACACAGTCACACATTGTATCTATTGTGAACATTTTAATTGATATTTATTCATCTAATCTCAACCAATGAATTATTTCTTCATTTTGGAGCTGTGGGAAATGCACAGAAGTAGAAGATATGTTCCCTACTCTCACTAAAGTTTATAATCTAGTTGAAGAAACATAAATGTATGATCTACGCAGTAATCCAACAGCTAGGTAACTAAGGACTAGAATAAGTAATATATATTACAAAGGAGTTGAAATTCAGAGAAAAAATAGAGTATCATGAATATATGACTCAATATTGGATCACATAGAGGATGCTACAGTAATGGTGGAGTGTAGAAAACATTGACTACATTGAATATTTTCTACTAAATATTTCATGAGAGGTTATACTGGTTAAAATATTGTAAATGTATATGCAAGAAGCTTCAGATTTTTGCAGATTGAGTAAATCCTTTCTATTCTTGATCATTTCCTGTTTTAGTTATAGTAAAAAGATTCAATTGTAAATTTCTCCTATACAGTTTATCAGATTCATGGTAAAGTAGAATATGTAATTTTAAGATAACCAACGCTTAAGATTTTTGAGTTTCAGTGGTATTTATCCATCACCTTTTTTACATTGTGTTCATAGTAACCATTTTATGTATTTATATATTTGATTTCTCAGATCTACTTGTTTGGAATTAGTGGTAGAGCCCTAATCGGAAGCAATTAAAGCCTTCTTGCCCTCTTCTAGAACAGAGGTCGGAAAACTTTTTATATAAAGGGCCAGTGGCAAGTGTTTTAGCTTTGTAGGCTATATTGTCTTGGTAACAACTACTCAACTCTGAATTTGCTGCATGAAAGAGAGCATAGACATTACGTAAAAGAATGTATGTAGCTAGATTCCAGTAAAACTTTGTTAATAAAACTGGTAGCAGGACAGATTTGGTCTGTAGGCATTATTTTGCAGTCCATTTAAGTCTAGCCAGTGCCCTTTCCTCTATGAGAAAGTCAAAGGTGATACAGTCTGGAAAAGTGCTTTGAACACTGTGAATCACTACAAGGTCAATTATTAATACTTAACTCACTTTATAGGGTAGGTATAAGGATTAAATGGATTAATGTACAGATACTACAAAAAACTACCCTGATACTTAGCAAGTACTCATGAAATGTTATCAATTATTTTTATTTAACATTATTTCCCCTCCCTGTTCATAACCTTTATGTCCTTATAGTCATACCCTTACATATCTACATGCCCTTATAATAAGTTGCAAATTCTGTAATCCTGGGCATAAAGCCCTCCACAAGCTAATTTCATTCTACTATTCAGGACTCTATCTCCCCAATAATCCCAAACTCATTCTATCTCTTTGTAATTCTCTTGAAAGTTCTTCATTTACTTTTCTTTCTGTTTCTATGACCACCTGCACGATGTATCAGCTGCCTAAATTTTACCTACCTTTTAAGATATAGCTTACTTCCTGTGTTTTCTGAGACAATTTCCATAATGATGATGGTACAATACTAAAAAGTTCATATTTAGATAGCACCTACTACATTCTAGTTATTGTGCTAAGTTCTTTACATGAATTAGCTCATTTATCTTTAAAATATCTCTAATAAGGAAAATACTGTCATTGAATGCACAGATGAATAACTTGAGATTCACAGGTGTTAACTAGTTTTCTCAAGATCACATAGTTAGGACCTTAGATAATTTTTCTCTAAAACACATTGTCTCTTTACGATTCCACTGCACTGCTCTTTAAATGAAATAAAATCATCCCTCCTCTAAACATTTAAAGGAATCCTTAAAATTTACTTGATAGAAATTCTTTTTTTAAAAATTTTAAAGATAAGGGGTACAATTCAGGGTTAGGTAGATAAATGGTCATCACACAGGTGAAGTTTGGGCCTCCCATTGGTTCTCGTTTTACCTAGTTTGGGATCAGGTACCCTTATTGTTATGTGCCCCCACCCTCTTCTGTAATCTCTTTCATGTAGCATGATAAATGTTCAGGGTCTACTTATAAGTGAGAATATGTGATACTCTGCTCTTTGTTTCTGTGGTAGATCACTGAGAACGACAGACTCTAAATCCATCCAAGTTGCTGCAAAGTCCACAAATTTATCCTTCTTTATGGCTGCATAATATTCTACCATGTATATGTACCACATTTTTTAAAATCCAGGTCACTTTTGATGGGCAGCATGGTTGGTTCCATGTTTTTGCTATTATGAATTGTGCTGCAATAAACATGCATGCACAGGTTCCTTATTTATTTATTTATTTTTTGAGTTGGAGTCTCATTCTGTCGCCCAGGCTGGAGTGCAGTAGTACACTCACAGCCACCCGAGCATTAACCCACAGTGTTCCAGTGATCCTTTTGCCTCACCCTTCCAAGTTGCCAGAACTACAGACATGTGCTACCACACCCGGCTAATTTTTTATTTATTGTAGAGACGAGGTCTCGCCAATTTGCCTGGGCTGGTCTCGACGAACTCAGGTAAACCACTCGCCCATCGACTTCCCAAAGTGCGGGGATTACAGGCTGAGCCACCGAGCCCATCTCACAGCTTTCTTTTTTGTAGAATGACTTGAGCTTCTCAGGGTATATTCCCAGAAGAGGGATTGCTGGGTCGTATGAAAGGTTGATTTTTAGATCATTTAGAAATTGCCACGCTGTTTTCCACAGAGGTTGTACTAGTTTACACTACCATCAGCAGTATAGAAGTGTTCTTTTTTCTCCACATCCTCTCTGGCATCTGTTATTTTTTTGAGTTTTTAATGATAGCTATGATAGGAATTTTTTTATGCCTTGTATAATTTTCTTCTTGTGTGTGACTGTGTGAACTTTCAGCTTCTTGGGGGCCTCTTTGTACCGACATGCAAGGTTCGTAATCAGGAGGTCTATAGTGATGTGATTGTACCAGTATAAATGTTGAAATATCTGCATAGCAGTTGGTTAGTACCACTTTCCCAAGTTCCTACAAGTGTCTCATACAACAACTCAGCTGTTCTGATCCCTAACCTTTGAGTTCATGCTTCTCACAATCCAGCAGTCAATGAGTTAACACCTATCTCATGGGGGGGGCTCTCCAAAATCCTTCTCCAGAAATAAGATCAATGCCCATTCTGATTGGTCATCGTCATGTCTGAGCATTTTGAACATCATTTCATCTGATATTTTTTATTTATTTATTTTTGATTTTTAAAAAAAATAATTTTAGTTGCTTATGAGCATATGCATATTGAAAGAGAAAATAAGGGCAGACAGAAAAGAAAAGAAAAGAAAAATATATTGGAGAATGGTAGCATTCTGGTACCAGTAATGGTAGCAAGAAAATGACCAACAACAACACCCAAGATAATTATGGCATCTCAGTGAGTTTAATTGTGCACTATGTCTGCAAGCTTCAAAGGCGAGATATTATGAAAATAAAAGTCAGGTTATGATTTTTAATCACTCAGCATCCAGGCACACCTGTGACTTTCTGTGAGCCGCTATAAAAGCATGGGCTCACTGTCACCATAAGCATCATCAGTTAAAGAATATTCCTTTTGTTTGTCACTGTTCTGACCAATCATCACCTCAGGCTTTTCTGAATTTTGCAACAACAAGAGTTCTGCTTAAATCCAAAGCATGAATCTATCCCCTCGGGATTCTGCCACAGAGAAGACTGTTGGTAATTTTTTTTAATGCTCATTAAAAACCATTCTGAAACCATTTTATTTCCTGTATGAAAATGGTTTCACATTAGCCCTACCAGACCTGTCCCTGAAATTTAGAAGAAAATTGTGCTGTAATACAGAGTTCATTTACTCAAATAAGCACACACCTGCTTTTTGCATTACAGAATGATTCTATTTTCATCCCAGCAGCTGTCCCTGGGTCTGAGTTACATAAATGAATAATGCATTTAATATGTTATTAAATGGGGCTGCTACCTCCGTAATAACAAGGCAACTTATGATTATGTTGGACCTGAGCTCTGAATATTACTGGGATGCATTTAGTTGGTAAAGCATTCTTCAATCTGCCAAGAAGAAAAGTGCTTTGTAATGGCAAGGGAGCCTTTGTACAATCACTGAAAAGGAAACATTCTGCAAATGTGCCTTTGATATTACCAACGGCTTGTCAGTAGATATTGTCTTATTATTCCAACAACCCCAATTTCAACTATTCTCTTCCTTCCTATCTTGATGCGCCTCTGTCACGTTTTTCTTTTTTGCCCCTACCCTCGTTAATTATGCTTCAGTGTCGCCTCGCCATCATAAAGGAGATGAATGCCATGTTTTTTTTATTTCTTTGTGAGAGCAAAATTGGAAAAAACATTGAAAGCCTTTGTAATCTGTAATTTTCCTATTTGGAAGTTTTTTGTTTTTATTTTTGCTTTTTTGCTATTGTTTTTGTTCTTTGGAGGTGATGATGGTAAAATACAGATGTTTATGACTCTTCACTTGTATGGTAGGGTGACAGTATTGTCTAGCTCAACGCTGTCTGCCCATGGGAATCAACTGGGGGCACTTTAAAATATATAGATGCCTAGAATTTTGCTCCCAAGAATTTTGATTTAACTGAGAATTCTGAAAGTCAGTTTTTTTTTTGTTTTAAGTTCTCCTGGTGATGCTAGTTTACAGCCAGGATTAAAGACTACTTCCCTGAAGGTTATAACTAGTGTTGTGGAAACAAATTGCCTGAATTTAAATTCATGCTCTTACTAAATAAATTTGGGAAATTAACCCAGTCTTTCTCTAAACTTTGGAATCTTTGCCTGTAAAATAGGGATAATTACAGACTCTTTTTGTAGCGTTCTTGAGAGGATTAAGTAAGATAATGCATAAAAAACGGTTTAGCACAGAGTCTGAAACATTTTAAGAACTTAATAAATATTAAAGTATCAAAAATTAGAAAAAAAAATCACTATTTAAGTATCAACTATTAACTTGTAATTATATCTCAAGTTCCCTGAAAATAAAAACTATATTCTGAATGCCAAGACCATCTTAGAATCAAACCCATTCATGTCAATTCCTTTCTTAAAATCATTCAAAACTTCTTATGGGCTTATTCTAAAGATTAATGTTCTGGTTTAACGTAAAGGTTCATGATGTGACCTCAATGAATTGTTCTAGTTTCAGCTCTTTCCACTGTCTGACATGCTTCCTGAGGCTCAGGCTATTCTGAACATAATTCACATTCTTTTGCCTGTACTGTTCATTCTGCCTGGGATGTTCTTTCCTTTTGTTAAACTTCTACTCATCTTTTTTTAAAAATTAGCTTAGAAATCATGCTTTTTCTGCGAAGTTGTAGCTTCCCTTTAATCACAGTATTTACCACATATAATGACCAAGGTAGAACTAAAACTCTAAATCTTCTTGAACCTCAAGAAGGTCTTTTGTCACTGAGCAAGGTATTTCTCCTATGAACTTACAATGAGGAAAAATTAACTACTTTGCTTTTTGGCTTGTAATATGTGCCTTTGCTTTCAAGGGAAAACCCTGCTTTGTAACAATGACATGGGCTTAATGAAGCAGGAAATTAAGCAAGCCTTGGGGACAGAAAAGAGACCCATTCTAGGTATGGCTAGGACTTAAAATCTTCCAAGATCTACCACCTTGGCGATGCAGGTGTGCAATGTGGAAAACAGCTATGTGTGCACGTTCATGTGTAGATATCTGACATGAAGATCCCGGGCCACAGTGCATGGCTTAACAATTGTGGTAGAGATCAGTTCTTCCCACTCATGTAGCCAGAGAAACTGCTTCTGGGAAAGCAGTGATGGTGGTGGCTGGCCCAGATCTCCTGATCTCCAGTGAGTAGGGATTGTACCAGACTTCCAGGCTGACAGACCTCACTGTGACTACATATTATGTGACTCTTCATCACTAGGCACCCAAAGATGGCTATTTATGCTTTAGCTGAGATCCCTTGTGAAAGTGTATGTTCAGGGCTGGCAATGTGCCCACATATCAACAATAATCTTATATAGCAACCATAGCATCGGTATTCAGAAAGAATGGAATTCCATGCTCACTAAGCAGGTTTTCAAAGTTTTTCTCCTCAAAGCAATAGCCTACTGGACTCTTCCTCTCAACTGAGTGAGAAGACTTAGGAATTAGGGAACAGGCATAGACAGAAGACCAGATGGAGGGAAGAAAGCTTTTCTTGCACTAAGCAAGATAAAAGCACAAGTCATTTAATTTTATTAGTAAATAGAAGGTGACTTCATTTTGAGCACCAGTTTGATGAAATGGGGCATATGGCCATACACATTTGACTAAATGACTTAATATCAAGAATCGTGAGAATGGCTCATAGAATTCACTTTCTGAGTCAACTAGTTGTACAGATAAGTTACATGTTTTTTCCTTTTCTTTTTTTTTGAGCACCTGCAGTCCAAGGAGTCATAATATTGAATCATTTCAATTAGTCATAAAAATTTCAGAGCTTGAAAAGCTATCAAAGATCATCCAATACAATCCCATTGTTTTGCATATACAGGAGACAGTTTATAGAGTTGCCCAAAGTCACACAGGATGACTGGCAGTTTTGGGTCTCTGGATGAGTTTGATATTCTCCTGTCACTATGCCATAGCACTTGGATAAGAATCATTAATGCCAGTGCTATTGATGTGGGCAAGAATAGCCATGTGAGAAAGTGATACCCACACAGAGTGATACTCAACTTCTTCATTTCCCAACCCCAATGCTATAACATGAAAAGATGGAAAATCTCACCTAAGACAGGTACTCTAGAGAGTCAACTTCATAGCAACAATTATTGAGCATCTGCTGTGAAACTGCATGGTTCTTGGCTAGAGATCAGCTACAAAGGCCCCTGCAGTGAAGAGTCTGTAAATAGTGCAAGTGATTTCCTTTCTGTGGACTTTAAACACATGCCCACTTTTAGGGCCAATTATTCTCCTTGATGAACACGTACAAATATCATTGGGTGGAGATCTGACCAAACATCAAAATTCCCACAAGGTACCCAAAATGGAATCACCAGGAAAAGACCCAAACACCCAAAGACCATGTAAACAGCAATTTCAAAGTAATGGCAGGTTGGGCAGAAGACTTAACTATCTATAAGTACAACAAAATGAGATTGTGCTTGTGTATGCACATACTCAGATATTTATAGACATTGCTGGAGAAACAAAAAGGAATGAATTTGGGGTTTTTTCAGCACTAACATGCAAAAAAATACAAATAAATACACATTTCCTTCTATTTGAGCAAAAAGAACTCGTTCAGTCAGCAAATAAACAAGTTATCTGGGCTGAGTGACAGAGGAATAGATGTGTTTTGGTATACTGTGGTTTTGTCACTTTCTAGTTACTTGACTTGGTGAGCCTATGTAGGTTATTTTTGTTTCACAGATAAGAAAATAGAGGCTTAGACTAAATATGTAAGATATTAGTATTGTTAAAACTATTAAGCATTAAATACATATCTGACCTATAAGTTCATAATAAAAGGAAGTTCTTCCCCCCACTTCTTCCTTCACTCTAGAGAAGCACGTAGATGATAACTACTGGTGAAGGTATATGCATTTTGTAAAGTGACAACTATATTCTAAGGCATTGTGCTATGTGCTTTATATACTGCATCACATTTAACTAAATAAACCCTGAATGCAAACAGCAAACTAAGGCTCAAAGAAATAAAGTCATTGCTAAAGATAACAGTAAATGGCGGAGGTTGGATTGAAAATCCTTAATTGTTTCACTCCAAAATTATACTCTTTTTTACCAAACAAAACATCCCCAATTATATTTCACTCTCAATCCATAAACAGACTGAGGCTTCAGTACCAGTGTCTTTGCTTTCCATCTAGATGTGATACGGCTTGTGGAAGCTGTGAGGGCAAAGAGTAAAAAGGGGCAGGGAGCAAACTATGGAGAACACAGCAGCACTTTGCTCACATGTTGTTCCAGGGTGTGGACATTAGAAACCCTCATACATTGGACCAAGGAGCAAGACTGGTGTTTACAGCTACTTGGAGGGATATTCTGCACCCATTTCACTTCTTATTCCACTTATCTTTTCTAAGTCCCAACCAAGAGCTAAAACACAAATTGTGCAACCATTCACTTCTATGAAGTGAAGCTGATACAAATTTTGGCACCTCCACAAAACAGTATTTCTTTGGGCACAATAACTGATGATAGAATTTTCCCATAACTGAGAACAAACTGCCTTAACAAACTGCCTCTCATTTCACCTTAACAAACTGCCTCTCATCAAAAGGAAGGTTTAAAAGCACGCAACCTCAAGGAACCATTTGTCATTGCTTTGCTAAGCTCTGGTCAGATCATGTGGTTCTTTGAACTTTGACAGCCATGTTTTCCTAGATTTGGCCTCCTCCCCTACCTTGGGAAGGTAAATCTTCTCTCTCTCTCTCTCTCTCTCTCTCTCTCTCTCTCTCTCTCTCATTTACTTTCTAAACAAATTACATTTTCCAGTCTTACTTCTGTGCAATTCTTCGCATCTTTCATGCGACACTAGATCACAGTCCACAGCCCCTGGTATGACCTAGCATTTTGAAGGCCCACTGGGATTTTGTGGCCTAACACTAATGCTGTCATTGATTTGACAAGAGATGGCGCTCAGGCAGTAACGCAAGCAATGGGGAATGGCTGTTCATACAGAAGAAACTTCACTTACTCTATGGCTGCATACCACCTGCTATACAGCCCTCTGTGGCCCCAGGGATTGGAGATTCCTGCTGTAAGGAATAGGGCAAGGCAAGTGAGGTGCCCAGGGAGCATTTGTCGGGACTCTCATTCAGGTCAAGCCTACACTTGTGATCCCTCTGTACTTTAACCCAGGCTTGAGGCTTATACAGATTTTGTACTGAGCATGGGGTCCCCATGATTGGCTTAAAGTTGGCATTGGAGACTTAGGGTGTATAGTGGCTACTTAATTCCATAGGTTTCCAGGCTGTGGCATCAGGGCTTAAGAAAGCTACCACTGTAGTGGCCCTTTCCCAGGGTCACCTCTTGTTTGTTCTTTGTGCATGAAATGACCTTTGTCACTTTATTAATTTGGTGAAATTCTACTTCCCCTTCCCCTCAGCTTACTCTTACAGAATCCACTGGCATTTGAATTTTAAAAGAGAGTAGCAGTCAATATAAACAAATCTTTCATTTGTGGGGCTCACAGGCAGCTTGTGAGCAGGAAGTCAGTGCTTTATTCCTTATGAGGGAGATACCTGGCAATGCCTGATACTCAGGTCTAAGAAGTAACCTATCGGCTAAGTGAAATTTGCTTTATGAGCTACCGGTAACACCTCCAATTGTCAAAAGAGATGCTAATTGTATATGTTTTTTATAACAAGTACTATGGGACAAGAATGTTAACTGCAGCAACGTTACAGTGACAGAAAAAAACAAAATGATACAAATGTCCATGAAAGGGGATGACTAAATATTATTATATTATTTAATACTATGAAACCAAAGAAATGAGATGGAAAGTAGCCTTGTAAATTCTAAATTAAATGTGTAAGATATATTTTTGAATGAGAAAGTAAAATAGAAGGACAATAGAGGTCCTATCTAGTAGGAAATCACATATAAAAACAACCTCCCAAATCAATTCAATATTTTTTCTTTTGGCACAATTATTTGCTTGCAAATGCAAACAGAAGAGTTTGGAAGCATACATATCAAACAGATCATAGTTGTGTGGGGTGATGATGTAAGTTATTTTTTTAAACATATAAAACATATGTCTGTATTTATTTTGTAATTAAATATTTTACGATGAAAAGCTAAATGTTTAATGGCAGCATCACTAGTGGCTATAGCATTAAATATTGAATCTGTGCCTATGAAATACCACTGTAAGCTAAATGTCTTCTTGTTTCTAGTGTAAAAATGTGTGGTTTAGACAATGTGCTGGTTAGTGGAGATACTTTTGACACCTGTCCCTCTGACTTTAGCCTATGAGGTCCTATTTGAGTGGTCACTTCTCCACATATGAACACCTTACTTCTGAGAGCAGGACATGTATCATACCTGCTGACAGATGATATTTATCATATGTTCTTACACAAGCTTGCCCAGCAATGCTGATGTTCTTCTACAAAAAGTTTGAATGGAATAGATTAAGCCCGTGGGCATGGCTACTTAACAAAAGTTTATTTTAGTTAGATACTATCAAGTGATACCCACTGATTTTAATAAAACCTTGAGAGTGAAGGTGGAATTTTAGAAGACAGTGTTGTAATTTTGTGACTACTAAACATAAGACATGCATTGACAAATATTTATATACCTGGATGCATACTGCTAAATTATATATATATATATATATATTTATATAAAAGATATATAATGCATACTGCTAAATTATATGTATATTTATATGAAATATATATATATATATTTTTTTTTTTTTTTGAGTTGGAGTCTCACTCTGTTGCCCAGACTGGAGTGCAGTGGCACGCTCATGGCCTG